TAAAGTATTTTCCAAATAAAGTTGTCATTAAAATGTGTCAAACACTTCCACTACTGCTGCACTAGGGGCAGTACAATCTGTCGACATATCTATGATGATTCTCAGTCGTCCAGGTCATGGTCAAAGTTCAGTTCCGTTAGGCAACTGGACATGACATTTTCTCAAGGAGACGTTTTGCCTCTCACCCACGAGGCAACTTCAGTTCAGTTCAGTCGACAGTTTAGTAAGAAACGAATATTCAAGGTGTGTTGGAAGCGCTGTGTTCAAGGTTCATTAAAATGTGTCGTATCGTTGTATTTGTAACTGGCCTTTATATATTTGTGGTCAGAAAATCGGTGAGACGGTGTAAACTGTGAACACTGTGGTTGTGAAACACCTCATCACTGCTGCTCTGGTAACTGTATCTCAGAAAAGGTTCCAGCGGAGGCACTCTGAAGGTCAGACCAAGATTCTACAAATACTTCAGCCCATGACGGGGAATTACGGACAAATCTGGGGAATTTCCAGTCATTTTCCACGTCAACAACTGGAAAACAGTTTTTTTTTTTTTTTTTTTTGGCCCTCGTCTCATTCTCCCTAAACTCACAGCTCTTCAGGATTTCTTCATTGTCTGGCGTCTGCGACGATGCAGAAGTGATTTGACTTATTTATAATTTACTTAAAGTTACTTAAAGTTCTTTTTTTTTTCTCACCCTCTTTCGTTTCTCTGGTGTTGGAGCAGCGTCCGAGGAACTGCAGCTGGAGTGAGGCCTCTTGTTGCTCTGGGCACTGTTGGGTTTGTTTACTTTAGAAGAAGAAGAGGAGGAAGACAAAGAGGAAGAAGGTTGAGGACTACGTGTGTGTGTGGCCTGTGAAGAGGAGGACACAGACACACGACTGTGCGACGTCGAGGATGACGACGATGGAGGCTTCTTCTTCTTCTTGACAGACTTTGGGGCATCGTACGTGAGAAAGAACTCGAAGGACATGTTTGGATTCTCCTCGTCCTCCTCCTTGGTGGGGTAGTCTTTGGGCACAGGAAGGTGTCCTGGAAATGAAAAGAGGAATTCAAGATCAATCCCAGACATGTTGTCAATGTACAAACACCGTGGGAGTGGACTTCTGCCTCACCATTGTCTCCCCCCTTCTTCTTCTCCTCCCTCTTGCTCTCGTGCGCGGTGGACTTTTTGCTGTGTTTCACTAGTTTGTTCGCTGGGCTCTGCTGTCGCTCTGTGTCCAGGCACCGCTTCTTTCCTTCACTTCCTCCATGATCGTCGCTGGGCTGTGCGTGGCGCTTCCGTCGTTCCTCGTCTCGTCCTTTGCTGCGGTCGTTGTGGTGATGGTGGTTCTTGGCAGGTATTTTGTGAGGTTTGGACGGCCGCACTTCTTTGCGTGGGGGAGGAGGCGCAGGTGGAGGAGGACTTGGAACCAACTCAGGTTCAGCTTCTGGGCTCTTATATTCATCTGACTGATAGCCTCCTCGCTGCGGGGGGGTGTACTGCTGGTGTTGGGGGGGCGAGGGTGAGTAGTTGGTGTGGTAGCCTCTCTCTTCCTCCTCCTCCTCATCCTTGTAAACAGGTTCTTCTTCAGGTGAGCGCTCACGTTTGCGCCTCTGACCCCCTCCTCCATCACCCCCCCCTCCCCCTGCAGCAGGACCTCCAGAGTACGAGTTTGACCAGGAGGCTTCCTTGTCATGGCTGTTAGGTCTGAGAAAACAGAGGAAACAGAGGAAACACAGTGAATATGGATTCACGATTCTTTTTGTTCACGCTACAATTGTGTCATGATTTTTTTTCTTTTGAACAAAATGAGCTCCAGACAAATTCAGACCAAATATAATGATTATTGATTTGTAAGTAATTTGTAAAAAATATGAGCTGGAAAGAGTTCCTTTCTTTACAGAAACACTGTTGGTGTGCACATACCGCCACCTACTGTACAACAGTATGTAGTGTCATGGTATGACGAGTGACTTTTTAAGATAACGCAGCCTACTCATTCAATCATCTTTTATTTCAACTGATGCAAACTCTCACACATTTGTATCGATTTTTTTTCTGGTGGATGCTCTGGAAGTGATTGCGGTGCAGAAAAAAAGAAGTAATCAGATCATCAGAGATCTGTCTACGAGTCTGTACCTGTCGGAAGACTGAGGAAGAAGTTTCTTCCATTTGGCTACCAGGCTTTTGGCCAACTCTCCGGCAACTTCGTGTTTCCTCAGAGAGTTCACTGCCTTCCCCACTCCGGTTTCCTGCAGGGGGGAGAGAAATAAAGAGATTGGTGAACTGTGAGCAGCGTCAGAGCCGGTACATATTAAAACTAATCCAAAAAACCAACACAGAGATTGCACTGCAGGCTGCTGTAATTTTCTGTGCTTTTTTCTGTATTTTAACAGCTGTTTTTGGTGTTTCTGTTGGCATCAGATGATCTCATTGGTCAGAGTCTCATTTCAGGTCAGCGTGTGATAAAAGCTGCCACCGAATAATCTCACCTACAGGGACGCAAAGAGCTAAGTGGGAGCAAATGTTTATCGTTCTCAGAGATCGTGTTCAGTCTTGGAGTTTAATAAAGCAGCTGTGAGTGAGAGGAGTTCTCTCAGAGATGATGACGGAATATTTACCACCAGCATGTCCACTGTCATGGGAAGGTCCCCCAGTCTTTTCAACGTCTTCAGGAGCTGCGGAGGAGAGAAAAACAAACAAAAGCAAAGCATTTATTGTCTGCGTTCAGACATCACTTTTAAAAAACTGTTTTTACTGTTTTATAACAGAACGAGAAGAATATTTGTCCTTGAACAAATCAGGCCTTGATCAAAATCTGTGCGCATTAATGCTGTTTTCCTCACGTTTTAATTAATTAAAAACAATTAAATATGAATTGTGGGGAACCACGTTGGCCAAATCCGCCTTAAGTGTAAAGAAAGCTGTTATTTCCTTTCTCATTTCAGCACAAAGAACAAAAGGGAAAGGGGTGGGGAAAAAACGAACAGAAACCTTATTTTTAATATTTTAAAAATAATTTGAATTGATATAACTGCCTCGGTGAGGCTCCACGGCTCAGCACAAATCAGAGTATATTTACACTGAAGGCCTGGTGTCGCCTTAACTGTCATTACTTGGGTAAATAGCGCACACTGGTTAGCTGCCCGGCTAACGGCTACTAGAGAAACAAATAACACTGTGTGACTTTAATGCTTTTTATGTGTGTTATGTTATGTTATGTGAACGTTACCGATTGTTTACATGTGTCATGTTTCTTCCGTGTGCTTTAAAAAAAACGATAAACATCGTCGTTTCAATAAACTTAAAAAAACCCATTTTATAGTGACGTATTGTTGATGCCTTCACGGCGGTGGGAATTGTAAACGTGTAACCGTTAAATAACCAGTATTCTAGGTTATTAGCATTAACACAATCGTTATGCTAGCTAAAAGTAACGGTTGAAACAATGAAAACAAGAACAGAAAAATGCAGTTGTATACACAACGTAGTAAGTGTAAAATATACGAATACATTTAGACTAATGTTTAAGTAGCCAAATTTAATAATGGGATTTTTCTGTGCCGGTGTAGCTGTTTAATTAAAACTGAAGAGAAACTCGCTGCCACTACAGTGCTTTATCTAATTCAAATATTAAGTCTCTATATTTAATTTAAAAAAATACAAAAAATAAACACAAAATGTAACCGTATAAGGCCCAATAAAGGACAAAGAAATGAATAAGATAAAAGTAAAAAACAAAACTGTACCTCGCTTTGGGAAGGATAACTGCAAAAACGTTTGCAATAACAGATACAAGTAGAGTAAAAACAAAAACAATACTAATTGACTATGTTATGGAAACAACATCTGGCCATTCTTTATTTTGATGAATAGTAATTACCTTATTCATAGTTTAGTCGTCGAATTCTGGATGAGACTGGCCTTGGTCTCAGTTTACAAACTTGTGATAACGATTGTATCAAATGAAAATAACAGTTGATGAATCGACAACTGCCGCTTAGAAAACCGCGTCGAAAAACATGCTTTAGGTATTATAAAAAATAATTCTAAAAGCAGTTTTACAAAACAATAATCAAACGTCGGAGTCCAACCGCAGGGTCTTGAATGCAGCATTTAAAAACCGTCTGACTTCGCTGAACTGTCGGGAACAGCGAATTCGCGTTGTTCGATGTAAACAACATTCTGACTGTCCAGGGAAGCCCGGTTCTAATCACCGAGACCGTATCCTTATGACCGCCCCAGTCGTTACCTTTCGAGGCTCCGCGTTCTCCTGGAGCCGAGACCGAAGTCTATCCACTGTTTCTAGAAGCTCATTCGCCATGTTAACTGCTGGTACTTGGACACCCGGAAACGTCTTCAGTCCTGACTAGAACAGAAACAGAGGTGGAGGAAGTTCCGCTCGTAAAAAGACCGAACGTTACCATACGCTTTTTTTCTCGCGGCTTAGAAATTAAAAGGAGGCGACTCGCTTCTAAAAATGACCTTAAAGGTAACAAAGTTGATAACAGGAACGAATGTTCTTTAACAGAAAGTAGTCGTGAAAGATTGACGTACGTCTCTCTACGTCATCACGCACTTGACGACACACGCAGAAGCACCTGTTGGTTTAACGTCACTAAAAGTGCTGATTCAGCTGAAACTGAGAAACCAATCTACATGTCAGGATGTTTTTGACGTTTGTATTTGAATTAAAAACTGAAAAAAAAACCCAACGTAACAGCACATTTTCTAAGTGAAGACGCTTGTTACACCGGTTATAGCTGTGTATGTATTAGATATATGTTTTGATATTATAATAAATCTGACCAAGTCAATAAATACATTCAATAACTGACTCTAATTGTAAGTCACTTGGATAAAAGTGTCTGCTAACTGTATTGTAATGTAATTTAATATACATTGCTAAAAGAACATATAACTGATGATAAATTACATTTTAAAATATTAAAAAATGTATGACCCACTGCTCCGACTAGTCATGGCAGATGGATTTTTTTCCCTCCCCAATTATAATGCATTGCTATGAATTAGCTTGTGTTTTTTTTCTTTTTTCCTGGGTTAATTGTATAAACTGTTGGTTTTATGAGATCAAACAAAGAGGAGAAAATGCCAAACTTAAACCTGACACCTCACAGACACCCCCATTCAGACAGGGTGAGGTGGGGTTGGCCACGACGTGAGCTGACCTCTTAAGGGATATTTTTGGAGGGGAGGGCGATGAGGAGGTGCCTGTATTTGGAAATGGAGGAGGATGCTGGCAGGCAGGAGGTGGAAAATGAAAGGAGAGGGTGTGATGTGAGCTGAGGGAGGCAGTGCTGGAGGTACAGGGAGTGGGTGGGTGTGTGTGGGGGGGTGGGAGGCGATACGTCACAGCTTGAGTTGGGATTGTGCTGTATTTCCCTCGGATGCAGGGACACACACACTCACACACACACAGCACACAGACAGAGGTCAGAGGGACGAAGCAGAGGGGGAAACTTAGTAAAAGGAAGGACAACGAACAGAGAGGCGAGCGTTAAGAAAGAAGCAGAGCAAGAAGAGGCAAGAAAGACGAGCTAAAGACGAGGTAAATGAACGCGGCTTTATTTCACGTTAACAGTTGGTGACTGTAACAGAGCTAATCCAGGGAGAGCGGATGAAACAGTGTGAAGTCATCGGCATATAAAGACTGTTGTGTTGACCTGTGGCTGCAACATGTCCGGCAGTTGCCTGTTGGTATTTGTGTATAACTGTACAGCCCAGGAGGTCTTTAAAAAGTGTACACACACACACACACACACACACACACACACACATCTATCCCTGTGTGTCTGTCGCTGAATTCTTTGCTTATCTCACCAGTGTATTTATAGGTGCTGACCCTCACAACATGCCTGTGTGTGTGTGTTTCAGTGTGTGTATTTTTATTACATATATAAATACAGGCACAGATTGTGGACAAAAAAAAGTGGAGACCACCTGGTGTCCATGAACTGAACGATATGATAAAGAAATAATGCAGTAAAACTTCATTTTTCTACTCATATTTTGATTTAATTTTTAAGGGTCTTTTATTTTCTAAATAAACCAAACCCTGGAGCCTCTGTTGTCTTGGTTCAGTTGGTGTAAATGCGGTAGTACGACTCCAGTCCGAAACCAAATATAATGACAAAAAAAAAATCTCTTTGACCAGTGACCTAAGACTCTCCTCTATCTCCTGGTTTGGAGACCAAATGATTTAACGTTTCCAATACGGAGGTTGGATTTTCAGGCGTGAACCAAACCTTTAAATTCTCTGTGACGTATAACTTCAGAGACTTCAGTATCAATGTTTTAGGCTTTTACTCCAATTTCCCTTAAATTTCCCTTTGTTGAAACTGTTGTCATGTTTGTCAGTTTTGGTTAAATCGCTGCTGTTATTCTGTCCAGATGTTGAGAAGAATCCATTCAGAAAAGTAGCTTTAACCTGCCCGACAACAGGTGACAAAAAAAACAAACGAGACGTTGGTAAAAACCAGAGGCCTCATGTAGATATAAAGATTTTTAAAAAATTATCAAATATTTGTGACAATAGTTTGTACACTTTGATCTCCTAAAGCAGACCTACAGGCAAACTGTGGCCCGTGGGCTACATATGGACCGCTGGGCTTTCTAATCTGGTCTGCCAAACACTAGTACACTGATGTCAATCTTCTGTTTCATGCATTACAACGAAGCAACTGTAATTTCTGTTGATGCCACTAGATAGCAGCAGACATCAAATTTACCAAATCATATTTGAATGTTTTGTTTTATTCCTATTGTACATTTTACTGAACCAGCCCAACTGTCAAATTGTGAACCGTCATTTTGGCCACAAAGTTTTCCCACCCGAGCTCTTGCAAGAACAAATCAGAACGCTCATTTCTCCGACTTGTTCCTCCAGCCCTCCGTCACAGTGTGTTTACGCTGAAACGATGGCTCATATTTCAACACACACCGTCGTTGGCACCAGTACCAGTGTTGATCCACAGTCTGCTGGTCCATATGACCATGTTCTCACCTTAGCACGTACCAAAGCACAAACGCACCTGTCTCTGACCTGCTCATTAAAAGGACACACTGGCCAACAGGGGGAGCAGCTGAGCATTACCAAGAGAAACCAGGGCAATGCAGTTCGTGGGTTCAGTTCCACTTAGTCCTAAATCCCAGACTGGGTTTTGTCAGGAAGAGCATCCGTCCTCTGGACGTGGACACGGATCATTCTGTACGACGACCTGCTGTCGTCATCCGACAGACAGTTTGACGTTCAGCTGCTGTCGTCTTAGGAAAGACACTGTTTTGCGTCGTGTGTAAACACAGCTTTTACTGATGCCAGTTGTCTCTCTCACACACACACACACACATAAATGCGTGTGTGAAGTTTCAAGTCCTCATATCCGCTTCATTCACACGCACTCTGAGGTCCACGTCTAAGAATAAACCAGCAGGGATGCCAGCGTTGGATTACCAACCTGCCGTTAATCTGCCGTTACACTGAGTTAACTCCAGTTTCTAGTCCTAAAAAAACACTCTTACCTCCCCTGCAGAGGGTGCTATAAGCCCGATTATATTGCCCTGGACGGTAACTTGAACTCACAGTTCCAACACACGTGTTTATGTAAAAGCTACTCTTGTAATTTTGTTGAAATATTCCCAGAAAAAAAAACAGTCCAACAGTCTCTGAATATTTCACTTTTAGTCATTTACCAAACCATACGTTAACCAACCCATCTGTGTGAGACCATTATCTCAGGTGAAGGTGACTCTGGACTGGACCAACACATGTTCTGGACCAGGGTCACAGACCTGGAACGCAGTCAAGAATCACTGCTATTTTTGTGTTGTCAAAAATGTATGTTATGGAGGCCTGGGCGGGGGGACCAGTGGGGGGGGTTGGAGGGTCCAGTACTGTTGTTGTGGACCATCAGCTGTTCACTGGGTTTATCCTCGTCTCCCCCGTGGCTGCACTAGGGCCGCTGGGTTTAAGACAGAGTGTGCTCAACAAGTGGTTTGCGACCCTTTGAGGCGTGTTGCTGGGAGGACCGTGATGATGATGTCACACCACACCTAATGCAGGCTAGGTTATGACATCATCACTGACCCCTCATCCCCCACCTCCCCCACCCCACCCCCCAACTTAGTAGCAGGCGGTTGCACCACCCTGGCAGTCTGTTAGCTGCCCCCACCCCCATCACACGACACCCACAGCAGCTGCAGCTCTGTCCTGTACGACGGCCCCCGACTCCTGCCCATGTGTGGAGACAGACGACGGCCAAAGAGCCAATGGCTGCTGTTTAAATAGAGCCAAGTTCAGCCCCAGAGCAGGTGAGGAGGGGGAGGGAGAAAAAGACAAAAGACATTAATCAATTAATTAAAACCCATTCAATCTTAGCTCCGTCAGTTTTAGCTGCGTACAATTAGGTTTTGGCAACGGTTCTCAAAGTGGAGGGCAGGTTCCCTACAGGTCACGGAGCAACTGCCTCTAGGACACAACATTACAACACCTTATCTTCGTACTTTCACTCATTGGACTTCTTCCAGGTGCTGTGTGCTGTGTTGAAGTGAAACCGCTCAAACAACAACAGGTCACTGCGACACCCAGACCAGAGGCCAGGCCGTCGACCATCTCCCTGTCAGAGGAGGCGTCAGCCCTTCCACCGCAAATCACCAGAGAAATCATCAGAAATGGCTCCCAAAAAGAAGGCCCCCCGCCAGAAGAAACCGGGCACCGACACCATCGCCCAGGTCGCCATGGAGACCGCCTCAGCCCAGCTGAAGGTGGAGAGCGTGGGTAACGGCGTGGTGGTGGTGGAGAGCGGCGTGAGGAAGATCGAGCAGATGGCCGCGTTGGACATCGCTCAGCTCAACAGCCTCAACCTGCCGCTGCCGCTGCCCGTCATCAAGCCTGGAGAGAGGGGGCTGGGCCTGGGCAGCGAGCTGACACGACCCCTCCACGGGAACGCTCTGCTGGAGGAGCTCAGCAGGATGAGGCAGGAGAAGTGAGTTCTGAGGGTTCGGAACCGTGAACCGATGTTGATGAAGGGCTGCCCCTAAAGTGGTCCCTCCAGGCTCCTGTAGAACGACCTTGTTTGACCAAAGGCCTTCATGTTGACTGACTATAAAAAGTAATTCAAAAAAGTAAAAAAAAAAAATTAAATTCGCTTGAGGTTAGCTAAAATACCAACATTAGCTTCCACCCGATCTTTGTCCAGCTAGGCTTCTGTAGCAGACGACACTATTGATGGTTTTGTTAAATTGATTTTGTGCTAATTAAACGTGGAGCTTAATTGTTTACACATAAGAGCTAAAAAAAAGGCTAAAATCAGTTTATGATTAGCTAAGATGATTTTAATGGCTTTAATTTCCGCTGCAAAATGTTAAATATCCCGCTAAGCTACCACAGCTAACACAAGCTGCGCATCTAAACAGCTAACATTAGGAGTTAGGTTTGACGAGAATTTATGAATATAATATTTTTAATTCACATTACTCTATAATATAGAACCTTTCTTCAGTTCTTGCTAATCCATTATGACGTTCTCCTCTGGTTCTCTCTTGTCCTCGTTCCTCAGGTTCCTGACTGACCTGGAGCTGGCCTGTAAGACCAAGGCCTTTGACGTCCACAAGCTGGTCCTCTCCTCCGTCAGTCAGTACTTCAGAGAGATTCTGGCCAAAGACCCGGGCATGAAACGCCTGGAGCTGCCGTCACTCTCACCTCTGGGTCGGTCAACCGTCACCAAACTGTTCCCAAAACTGTTCTAAGAACTGTTCTACTTTGGGAAGTTCCATTCAAACGTCTGTGTTTCACTTCTAACCCGCAGGCCTGGCCAACGTCATCACCTTCGCCTACCTGGGCCGCGTCCACATGTCCCTCTACACCATCGGCTGCACCGTCTCTGCCGCCGCCACCCTCCAGATCCCTCAGCTCCTCAAGATGTGCATGGACTTCCTGCTGGCTGAGCTCAACGTCCAAACCTGCGTCTACATCTGGAACATCGCCGCCGCCTACAGCCTGCTGCCCGTGTGCGACGCCGCCCGCCGCTTCGTCCTAGAGAACTTTGTGCAGTTCGCCGACACGCCGCTGTTCACCCAGCTGACCCTGGAGCAGATCTCGGCCTTCCTGCAGGACGACCTGCTCATGTTGCCCTCCGAGGTCACGGCCTTCCAGGTCAGAGTCCAGTGCAGACCTCAGAACATAAAAATGAATACCATGACACTACACACTCTAGTACAGCAGGTGGCGGTATGTGCCTAGAAAACGTTGGTATTAAACCCTGGGTGACGGGCCGCCTCTCCATCAGTCCTCCAGGCCTTTCTGCTATTTCCATCATGTCCAAAAACAGCGCCCCCTCAGACCAGCTGTTCAGATCCCAACTCCCAGTCCGGCATCAAGGCCAGACCCCTGTAGGTCAAGTGTGACCAGTATAACCCGCGCTGTACATGAGCAGAGAGTTTTGGTTTATTAATACACCACTCAAACACGGACCCAGATACAGTCGCAGCTGTTAATGTCCGTTTCAGGCTTCAAGGGTCTCCATTTAAAACACCGTTCGACAAAATCAAAACATGTCCCGGGGCCCGGGTTTAAGAACAGTTTTTAATTCGCCATGACGACGGCTGTTATCGACACTGTAGCTCACGGTACAGAAAGTCACCACGGTCACATTGACAGTTACCAAAAGTTGTTAAAGGTTAGTTAAAAAATGTTGATGTCAAATAGTTCTTAGTTAGTCTGACATCTCTCCTCATAGTTAGCCATGGACGCTGAATTAGCTAAAAGCTAAAGGCTATTAGCAAGACACGGCTTAAACATCCAAATGAATTAATCAAAAATAAAATACAAATGACAAGATTAATATTTACCAAAACATGATTCAAACTTGGAACCACGGAGACTTCGACTCCAACGTGTCATTTTCACCTGGTTTCGTCAAATACCAGCAACTGTGAATTGGCTGGAGTTCCGGTGTTCATCTTTTTTTCCCATCATTCCCTGAATCCTTCTCTCCAGTTGGCCATGAAGTGGCTGGACTTCGACTCGTCCCGTCAGACTCACGCCGCCGCGCTTCTCAGCCACGTCCGATTCGAGACCATCCCGGCCAGCGAGCTCGTCAGCCAGATCCAGCCGGTGCCGCGCATGATGCTGGACCCTCAGTGTCACCGCCTGCTGGTGGACGCCATGAACTACCACCTGCTGCCGTTCCAGCAGAACACCCTGCAGTCCCGGCGTACCCAGGTCCGCGGCAGTCAGCAGACTCTGCTCACCATTGGTGGACGTCCATCGCTGACCGAGAGGGCGCTCAGCCGGGAGGTGGGGTTTGAATTTTTTTTTTAAATTTAATTCACATTTTTAAGTTATTTAGTTCTTTATTTTGCTAGATGGCTAATGGCTAACCCTAGCCAACATAAAAGTTACTTAACTTTTTTTTACAGCGCATTTGATGGTCTATGAAAGTTTTTTTTCTCGTATCGTTTTCCATATAATATTTTATGGTATCGTATCGTATTGTGGTATCGTATATTTTGCGTTGCATCACATGGCAAATGGCAATTTTTTCCAAAGAGTAACACATTTTTTTTTTCGGTTCAAGGTTCTGTGGAGGGACCCTCGTGAGGGCGGAGCCTCCTGGCGTCACCTCACGCAGCTGCCAGCGAAGAGCTTCAACCAGTGTGTGGCAGTAATGGACGGCTTCCTGTATGTGGCCGGAGGAGAGGATCAGAACGACGCCCGTAACCAGGCCAAACATGCCGTTAGCACGCTGAGCAGGTCTGGACCACGACACGGGAATGATGTCACTCAGTGTTCTGCAGTATTTACTATCAAAAACTGCAGTATTTTCTATCAAATACAGCAGTTTTTTCCCAATTTCTCATTTTAGTTATTTTGTTGTTTTGTTTTTTGTAGGCTATTTTTTTTTTTGCTGCACAATTTAATGAATGAATCTAATTTTAACATTAGTTAGCGACATTTAACGTGTCAGGTTAGGTCTAGAATAACTGCTGACAAACTTCGTGTAGGTAAAAAACAAACAAACAAAAGTTCGTGGTCACTTCTTCTGATCATCGGTTCTAAACCCAAGAAATTGCAGATCCAGAGAACTTTTCCTCCTTTCCCGTGACTCTCCACTTTGCCTCCCTCAGATACGACCCTCGCTTCAACACCTGGCTACACCTGGCTAGCATGCGGCAGCGTCGCACCCATTTCTCCCTGGCTGCCAGCGGCGGCCGTCTGTTCGCCATCGGTGGACGCAACGTGGAGGGTCTGCTGGCCACCACTGAGAGCTACCTGCCCTCCTCCAACACCTGGCAGATGCGTGCGCCCATGGAGGTTCCCCGCTGTTGCCACGCCAGCGCAACACTGCCCTCTGGGGACATCCTGGTCACAGGCGGCTACATCAACTGTGCCTACTCGCGCTCTGTGGCGTGCTACAGTGTGGAGAGAGACGCCTGGAGCGAGAAGACCCCCCTGGAAACCCCCCGCGGGTGGCACTGCTCTGCCACCCTGGGAGGAAAGGTCTACGTGGTCGGAGGAAGTCAGCTGGGAGCAGGAGGCGAGAGGGTGGACGTGATCGGCGTGGAGGTCTTCTCTCCTGAGAGTGGTACTTGGAGCCGCGTGGCCCCCCTCCCACTGGGCGTCAGCACCGCGGGCCTGTCCCCGCTGGCCGACAAGCTGTACCTGCTGGGAGGATGGAACGAGGCGGAGAAACGCTACAAGGCCGCCGTCCAGAAGTACGACCCGGCCACCGACAGCTGGTCCACGGCCCAAGATCTGCCAGAACCCACGGTGGGCGTGTCCTGCGCCACCCTGAGCCTGCCGCCCCGCCACACACCACGTCGGCAGCAGCACCGCAACACGCCGGCTCACGAAGAACAGCAGCAGAACCGCAGCAGAGAGAGCAGCGTGGCCCCGTCACAGAGCATCACAGCATGAAGACAGGAGGCGCTGGAGAGCCTGGAGTAGAAGAAGAAGAAGAAGAAGAAGAAGAAGAAGAAGAAGAAGAAGAAGAAGTGAGAGGTCCAACCTCAGGAGGGAACCAGCAGTAGGACTAGGAATGATGACATTTGATTAATCAATTGATTGCCTGGTCATTATTGAATCATAAAAAGGTGTTTCCAACAAAGGTCACAAAGGTCACAGTTTTGCATCTCCCAGAGTCAACAGTATTTTTTGGGACACAAGAAAAGTCAATCAACTAATTAATTAACCGATCATTTGGTTCTAATCTGGATCATGTTTGTTCTTTTTTCTGTCCATGATCACGTCAGGGAAGAAAACCCTCAGTATTTTATACTTTTACAAAAGTAACAAAAAGATTATTTTCCTATAAATCCTTGCACTACACCGACCTGAGAACACACTCGTCTGTTACGCTGTAGGTGATGAGACGGAATCAGCAGCGTCCAAATATTCTCAACCTGATTGTCTGAGAAAATGTCTTAATACTAATGATGATTATTGAGGATGAGTATATTTTTTTTTCAGACCAATCAGGCCTGAGGGGCAACTGTGAGGACAGGACAGAAAAAAGAGTTTCTGTGATCCACTGTGGTCTCCGGGGGGGGGGGGGGGGGGGGTTTATGTAATGATGGTCACAGAACAGGGAGGTGGAGAAGAGAGACAAGGTGGAGGAAGGTGGGGAGGAGGTGGTGGCTGTGGACGGAGGACAGATGATGGAGCTGAAGTGAGTTTGGGTTGAACAAACGGAGACGACTGTGAATCCACTGACAGATTGTGTACAAAGATGTATCTAGACAAAGTATGAGAGAGAGTGTGTGCGTGTGCGCAAGGGTGTGACTGTGTGTGAAACACATAATGAGCCATTTCTATCCAAATCAGAAACAAATAGAACATAGAACAGAAACATTTCTTACGAGTAAAAAGAGCAGAAAATGATAGATGTTTGTTGTTTTATCTGTTTATTGAGTCTCTGCAGACGTAGTGTAGCTTAGTAGTGACGAAATATTAGAAAAACGTAGCTGTAGCTTTGTAGAAAATCATATTTTTAAGAGAAAAAACATTAAAATAAAAAAGAAGAGTTTAAAGGTAAAACACCACAGGTGAAATTAAATGTGACACGGTGAATAAATTCACCAACACGTTCGCAAAACGTTCCCTGAGAAACCGTGTTTCAAAAAAAAAAAAATTCAAATTAAAAAATATAGTAAATGTCACCAGTGTTACAACTGTGATTCCCAGCAGTTTATCAACACAAAAAATATTACTTTTAAAAACTGGCTAATTGTAGCTCCAATGTTAGCAGGGCTTTACACCAACACGAAAAAATAATTATGGATTATGAAACCTTAAAATCAAAACACAATACAACTGTATTCTTTTAATAAACACGTAACATTTTTAAAACATAAAAACATAAACATAAACATAAACATAAAACACATAACACATAAACATAAAACACATAAACATAAAAACATAAAAACATAAAAAGATTTTCTTTCGAACTTTCCAACTTTCCTCCAAACGTCAGGCTAAGCTCATCCTGCTAATCCGGACAACTTTAACTTTGCATCTTTTGGGCTACATCGCTGCCACTTAAAACCACTAGGTGGCAGTAATGTAAAGTGATACCATCTTTTTTTTTTATCCTACAATCATTCAGGATCTCGATTTACTTTAGGGGAATTGCAGTTTTAAAACCACAACGCCCCCTATAAACGTCTATGTTGCTCAAAGGCAAGGCTCCATCTGCTCCATGGTGTGATAATAATAATATAAAAAACTAAAAATCTGTGACATTTTTCTACATCGGTGAAGGACAGCGGGGCTGCCGCGGCTCGTCTGATTGGTTAAATCACTCCGTATTTGTCTGTTTTTGAGAGGTTTCACTGAATCAATGAATAAATGACGATCTGACAACCACGTGACTGTTCTGTCTTCTCATTGGTTACTGGACAATCCATTTAAAGGGAAGCATGACGAACCAGGAATTAACTCTTCTATTGAAGGAATTATAATTATTTTAAGAACTTTTATTAGAAATGTTTTTAAAACACGCCCACAGTTCTACGGAAAACTAAATAAGGACTTTGGATGTTACGTCAACATCGGAATAATTACTATTTTACCTTTGTCCGACATTCCTATGATTTAAACAACATTCGTCTGCCATCCGTTATTAACCAACATAAAATACGACTCTTTACTGCCATCATGTGGCGAAAACAGATTATAAAAACACCGGTAACTGTGAGAAATCAAGAGTAAACAAGAGAACAGAAAACACCAGTCATGTTCCACTTAATATTTTTTATTAAACAAGAACAAAAGGTGGTCCTTTACTTCCCGGGGAGGATGATGCCATCGTACTGTAGAGAGGAAAATAATTTAAAAAAGGTTAATTCTGGTATTTCAGTTATCTTAAAACCCATGAAAAGTCATTGGTTGTGTTACTACTTAAATTTGCACTCAAAGCAGAAAATGGTTTAAACATGTATTAATTGATGTTTGCTCAAAGGTCAACCTGGCAGCTACCACCTGTCATGTGTCACAGAACAGAAACATCTGATTGGACACATTTCCAAAATCAGATTATCTAGTTTGTTGCTACAGAACTCAACACTGTTATAGACGATACAGTGTGGTGGACACATGAAAGACCAACGAACAGCACCATGGGACCTGAGCCTTAAATCACAGGCCTGGAAATTTCTATATATATATATATATATATATATAAAACCAAATGATTCAATTAGCAACATATTCAACCCCCAGGTGCAACTGTGGCGGTATCACTGACACATGACCCAACGAAGGTTGAAACACGTTGACCTACAACCTGTGACCAGGATTTCTATAAACCCTAAAAAAAAAAAGAAGCATTAAATGATGTCAAACTTCACATTTTTAACCAAACTTGAATGGAAACCTGTTCAAATGACTGAAGCTCGTCAATTTAGAACTCCCCCCCCGTGTATTTCAGTCACTAGACCAGACAAGCAGGTTATGACCTGGTGTCAAAGGTCATCCTCCAGAATTCTAGAGAAGGAGTTCTCTGATCGAAACACCACTGAAGAAGAGCAGACTGAGCCAGAAGGGAGACGGAGGAAAAGAGATTTTCTTTCTTAAACCTCCAGGGTCTGTGACCATCTCATCATGAGAATGCATTAATGCAATGTATTTTCTGCTTTGTTGCAAATGTTAAGAGTTCCAAACTTTAAATATTTTTCCCCCAACATGTAACCCCCCCCCCCCCCCCCCCCCACACACACACTTCATCTAGGTCATACTCACTTTCTGCTGGAACCAGCGCATGGCCTCCTCTTTGCGGATGCGGTGCTTGAAGCCGATGCGGCCTCTTTTCCGCTTCTTGTCTGCGATGCTGAAGCCGGGTCGGCCCAGAACCTGAACAAAGAGGGGAAAACTTTCCATCAGTTTTTTTCTCGTGATCCACCTATTTGCGGACCACGAGCTGACCAGGTTAAAGTCATCTTCATGTCAATGTCAGGCTAAGAGGGTGCTAGCTAGAATGGGATTTGTTTTTTAACCTTGATTAATACACTAATCAATACTTAGTACATGCATGTACTAGGGTTAACCTGTACCTGGATCTTTATTTAAACTAAAAGTTGTTTTTAACCCCCTCCTGACGTACTTGTTTTGGATTCTGTTTGTATTTATATGGAATAATGTCAACATAAATCCTTTTTCCTATAATTTATTTTGCTATGTACATTCGTTGCCTTTGGGAATTACTGTGTTTTGGATTATGATAAATGGGCCTTTAAGACCAGTAAATAAATCGTTTTAATGACCTGACCAGTGACAAAAAAACAAACAAACAAACAAACAAAAACAAAAAAAACCATCACCAACCAGCACGCAGCATCATAAACCAAAATCACAAAACTCTGGTGCCTCACTCACCACGTAGAAGTCCAGTCCGTAGATACCAATGCTGGGGTCGTACTTGATGCCCAGATCGATGTGCTCCTGAATGCCGAAGCCAAAGTTTCCGGTGTCGGAGAAGTTGTTCTTTCTCAATTCATACTCACGCACCTGCAGGTAAAGAATGGAAAAAAAGAAAAAAAAGATTAAATACAACACATGCCCAGAATCAGCGTCGCAGACAGGCCTGATTTCTCTTCCTGATGTGTGTGGTGTCACAGACTTCCTCACCTTGAGTCCCTTCTCCAGGATCTCCTCTGCCTTGGCTCCACGGACGGTGCAGTGGACAGCAATCTTTTCATTTCTGCGGATACCGAAGGATCGCACTGTGTAGCGGGCTGTGATGGAACATGGAACAAAAGCAGTCGCTCAGAGAGCACATAATACAAATGCTATAATCCATACTGTAACTACCCACAGCTAACTGTGATCCATCAACACCAGAATCACTTACCCTTGGAGAAGACAGGAGTCTGCCCTGTCAGCTGCTCCAGCACTTTGGCAGCTCGGGTCAGTCTGTCTCCGCTCTCACCGACGCAGATGTTGAGACAGAGCTTGCGGATGCGGAGCTCTCGCATGGGGTTCTCCTTCTTCTCACCCTGGTCCTGGAAAACCATGAATACCGAGTCACATCAACAACAACCATGGCAACAGAACACCAGCAAATACTTGCTTAATACCACTAGCGCCCTCTAACGCAGCCAAGACAGAAATTAATAAACGCTTTCGAATTATGCTATTAAGACAACGTTAATATTTCAAAAGTTATCCGATTCCTACGGCGGTGTTCACTGCACGTCACATGCCGGGCGGACATGTCCCAACATAGCGCTGTTACCTGTTCGCTGCTACTAGCAATATCCAAGCTAAGGCTAAACAACGCAACCGGAAAGTAAAAACATGTTAGTTAAAACCATGTAAAGTCACTCCGAATACGACACAGTCATGTGTCGGTTAATTTCTATGTCGCCACAACCTCGAGTCCTATCAACACGGGCAGAATTTAACGTGAAATAATCTGAGGTGCAACACTTTCCAATGGCTAGCCGCTTAGCATCAGTCGGTTATCGTTTTTTATCACCATTCCGTGGGGTTTATTTATGAAATAATCACCCATGGTGATACATTATGTCTACGTGTAATCATGTGATATCGAAACAATATTTTAAAAATCTCCACGGCAGCGATGACACTGGATTTCTGCCGTAACTTTTGGATGACATACATCGTACGACGTGAGGGGCTACTCACCGCCATGTTGGATCACTAGAAGAGGACGTTACGTTTCCGGCCACAAATATTTAAAGCAGTGCGTACCGCGCAAGTAGTGTCGACGGAACACCAACCCAGTACACGATACAGTTCCGTTGTAACTAACGTCTACTATTAACGCTACTTCAGGTACTACGACTTGATTTACTAGGAGTCTTATAACAATAATAACAACAAAAATAACAAAATAGTAAATATTAGTACTCCCATCAGGAGTCGTAACGTGACGTACGTCTATAAAGCAGCTATTTCAGAGGAGTAACTACATAGGAACCATATATTTGGCGCCTCTACGGGGCAACCTGCGGTCAAACCTGCGGTCAAAGCGACAATTTAAATATAAATAAAGTTCTAATTAATATTGTTATTTACTGGGGATCTATTTTAATAGATTTTTCCCATTTCGCGGTGGGTCTTGGAACGCAACTACCGTGAGGGACCACTGTATAATAATATCAAACAGAAAACGATATTGTGGTAAATGCACTGATAATCGTTGGGTTATCGCACATACTCTCTTACCCACCGCTCATATTCATACCCCCCCTCCTCCACTGAAGAGTTAAACAGTTAGTTTTTGACTCCATTGGCCCTGCTTTTTGGAAGGAGGAGCCTGTTATAGAACAAACTCCTCTTGTTACAGTACATGTGTTTAACGAGCCTGTGTAAATGACAGGTTACCGGGAGGACTCCGCTCCACGTCGCCTGTTTAACCTGTGTAACAACTATATCCCTAATCTCACTCCCCTGAGGTCATAGGACTCTACTGGTTTCTGTACATTTACATAACTGATCTGTAGTAAGTTAGGACCACATACATGACCTGTCACTTCCTGTTTTTCGGCTCACACTAGATGAATACCACAAAGAGGTATTAAGGTTACACATAGAGCCAAGAGCCAAACAACAATTTCCCCAGTGTGTGAAGTTCAATCTAATCTAATCTAATCATCTAGGTGGCAGCACAGAGCACCGTCATAATAATAATAATAACTGTATAAATTATGCGGCTCAAAGCGCTGTTTCTGTCTATTTTTATGCAGAATTCAACAACTAAAGTCTTTGAGTCTCACAAATTGACAGTTTTATTTTATGAGACAAAACATACACAAAACACAAAAAGGCAAAATATTTAACGGCCTCTGTTTTGGTCAAGTCAAGATGAGGACCCCGGAGCACAAATTACCACCTGCCTTTTTGACTGTTTACTGTCCCAACATGTCCAGACCTTGTTCACAGACTCCTGGAATTGTTTTTGACGAGGACCCTTTTGACTGTTTACTGCCCCAACATGTCCAGACCTGGTTCACAGACTCCTGGAATTGTTTTTGCTCAATCGATCCCCCCCCCCAACATGGAGGGTCCAACATGGAGACGACCCATCCGACCACAGAGCTGTGATGTTCCCTAACCTTTTTTGAGCCACGGCACACCACCAAACAAAAATCTCACAAAAAGTCTACGTAATGAACTATAATAATCTTCTTATTCATTAATTAAATGACCTCATAATTGACTAAAATCTCGGCCTGTTTAGTTGAAGACAACGCTGATATACTGGCAGGAATTGAAGAAAGACTCGCACAAAAATCTTCTTTCAACAGCTCTGATTGTTTTTTATTTTATTTTAATAGCCACTTGCTGCCACCTAGCAGAAGAGGATTTAATTGTTCTGCCTTTCACGCTCTTACTCGTCATCCAGAAAAACCTCTTCATTTATCTGAGAATAACCGAAATAATCGGAATATTATTGTTTCAATATCACATCGTGAATAAAGGCAGAATTCTAAAGACGTTTCTGAGGATTCTGGTCGTTCCTTCTTTCTCTAGAATGTTCTTCCCTGAGCACAGATACTCCACCCTAAAACCCCTGCAGGCTACGGCAGTCATTGAACTTCAGGCATTCCTCGTACTCTGGGGCCAGTTCCTCTTGGTCGGGTTGAGCCCCCTCGGTCAGCATCAGCACGGAGCAGTTAGACCTGAAGATCCAGAAGATCCATGTGACTGACTGTTGAACCGCCTGACTGCACAGACGGCTTCTAGAAAACATTTAAAAAAGTTTGAAACTCATCATTATTCTGTTTAAATCTGTGAATCTATGTGAACAATCTCATGTTCCTCAGACTCACGTGAACGTCAGACGTTCACAGCAAAAAGTCAGCTTTTCAGATTCACAGTATAAAAGAATGAGGGAAAGGTTTATCAAAAGGACCAAAGTGTCCGTGGTTCAAACTCAGCCGTTTATTAGTTTTTAATAAAAAGTACTGAAATATTTTGTCCGTTTTACAAACTTGCGTTTGTTGTTGGGTGAGTGCCTGAAAACGGTTGAACTGGTTGAAGCATCTGGTTAAAAAAAGCATTTTTAAAAATAAGATCTGACAAACATCCTGGAGACGAATGAGTAGGAGAGAGGAGGAGGAGGAGGAGCGGGAGGAGGAGAAATGGGGCGGGTGTCGACCTCAGCCCCTAGAAGATAAAAGGCCATTTTGAAGGAGTTGACACGCACCTTCACCTCCACTCAACAGGTAAGTCAGAACCCTCTGATCTACGACTTTGTAGTTTCATAACGTCGGCTTATTTCTCAGTTACGTCGTTCATTTTAGATAAATAAATGTCGTTGATTTGGTCAAAATAACTGAAACTGGTCTTAAAATAACTAAAGGTCAAATTGGCCCCTCATTCAGTGACATGTGTCCAAGAATGATGTAACAGGAAACAAGGTTAAAGGATTGGCTGAAAAATAACCAGGGGCAAAAGTGAGCCGTGTAAAAAGGTTTTTTTTAATGAATTTAATGAATTTTAAAGTTATGAGGGAAGAGATTTAGGATTTCAAAAGTGATCGAAAATTTGACTTAAAATTTAAAAACTTGAGTGAACTTCTGGAATATACTCTGATCTGTCAAAAAGACGTACGACTGATGAAGAAATTAGAAAAAGAAAAATGTCAGTCTTTAGGGTTTTTTTGAGGGCGTCATCGTTTTTCACAACAAAAAACAAAAAACATCACAAAACTTCTCCAGCAGGGACAGGGGAACGATTATGTCATCAGGTGACGGGGGTCGCCCTCTAGTGGCAATGGATTGTTTCACATACAGTACGTCTTTAATGCAGCGTCAGAGCATAGGGGGCAGCAGAGACAAGGAGAGAAAGAAGAAGTCAATAATCCAGGTCATCTTATCCAAAATAGTTCCATCGAGGCCAAATGGACGGAGTAGGTTTCTTGAAGACGTTTCACCTCTCCTCCAAGAGGATGGAACTATTTTTGGATATCGCACAAATACGGAAAAAAAAAACATCTCAAAGAGTGAAAGCAACATCCATCCATCCATCCATCCACTTATCTGTTACCGGGTCGCGGGGGCAGCAGTCTCCACAACCACCACCCAAATCACACTGCACCGTACCAACCCCCCCTGAACCTTCCTGCGGGTGGTTAGTCCACTGGAAGGTACCAACGACCCTAACCAGGATTCGAACTTGCCCAGGAGGTGAACCCTGGGGTTCCACACCAATGACAGCGACGTTGCCTCTGGGCCAAAGCGCCACTGAAAGCAACATCCTATTGGATATTTGTAACGGTTAACTGGTACAGATGGATCAGCTTTTTAAAAGGATGACGATATTTTTTTTAAAAATGAAAAGAACAGCAGAAGCCAAACGACAGCCGAGGACTTTATTTCTGCTACGTTGTTAGCACTTTCCCCCTTCTTTTCCGACTGCATTGAGCAGTTGACTAACATTGTAAATGTTTTGTGCTTTTTTTAAAAACATTGAATGGAAGCTACTTTGTTAAATTTTTGCTTAATTTCTTTTTACTATTTTGAGTTAAATATTTGTTGTTTTTTTTTACTTTTCAAACCAGTTAGCTAGCTGATCTAACTCTAAGAAAAAGGTGTGTTGTGCAGCTGGACATTTTTATTCCAGGTTTTAACAACGTTAACTAAAACAATATAAATGAATAAATTACGGGAAAGTATTTCTGTGATTTTCTTTCGAATAGGCTATATATAACATTTTACTGACGTTGTTTGATGCTAGTAAACCAAAATGAGAAAGTGGACTGGTCTGTGTATAGTTTGGCTAAGATGGTCGTGAGTCATTGGTTGTTGTTGTTGTTGTTTTTGTGTTTTTTTCATTCAGTAAACCAAAATGGGAAAGGAAAAGATCCACATCAACATCGTGGTCATTGGCCATGTCGACTCCGGCAAGTCCACCACCACCGGTCACCTGATCTACAAGTGCGGAGGAATCGACAAGAGAACCATCGAGAAGTTCGAGAAGGAAGCCGCTGAGGTGAGTCACAGAGAAACAAGGATCACATCAGGTGTTTTCCTACATTTTGTTAAAAACTTGTTTGTTCTGTATGTGTAACATATTTTAGCATTACCTAAACAAATACAGTTCTGAAACAAGCAGCTAACGTGTCTTTATGCAGACAGAACTTATAAAAGAACCACATTAGATGCAGCACTGTTGCCAAGAAATGGTTTAGAAACAAAGTTACTGATGATGCATTTGGTTTTGGACCATGACAGATGGGCAAGGGTTCCTTCAAGTACGCCTGGGTGTTGGACAAACTGAAGGCCGAGCGTGAGCGTGGTATCACCATCGACATCGCTCTGTGGAAGTTTGAGACCGCCAAGTACTACGTGACCATCATTGATGCCCCTGGACACAGAGACTTCATCAAGAACATGATCACTGGAACCTCTCAGGTGAGAACACGTCGATCATTTAGATGGTTTCCTGTTCAGTTTTGCCTGCAGCCACTTAATTAAGTTCTTCCTGTTCAGGCCGACTGTGCCGTCCTGATCGTTGCTGCCGGTACTGGTGAGTTCGAGGCTGGTATCTCCAAGAACGGTCAGACCCGTGAGCACGCCCTGCTGGCCTTCACCCTGGGTGTGAAGCAGCTCATTGTGGGAGTCAACAAGATGGACTCCACTGAGCCCCCTTACAGCCAGAAGCGTTTTGAGGAAATCACCAAGGAAGTCAGCACTTACATCAAGAAGATTGGTTACAATCCTCCTGCTGTTGCCTTTGTGCCCATCTCTGGTTGGCATGGAGACAACATGCTGGAGGCCAGTGAGAAGGTAACAAAAATCTAAATTCACTTTTAAGCTGCTTCACCTTTGGGTTTGTCCCAAAGTATCTTGACCTGAAGAAATAAAATATGCTATCTCAAAGTTCCTTAACTTCTACGAATCAAAAAAAGCTGCTCTGAAGAAGAACATTTTCAAACGTCTCCACAGATGGACTGGTTTAAGGGCTGGACGGTTGAACGCAAAGAGGGAAATGCTTCTGGAAAAACATTGTTCGAAGCTCTGGACTCCATCCTGCCACCCAAACGCCCCACTGACAAGCCCCTCCGTTTACCCCTGCAGGACGTCTATAAAATTGGTGGTGAGTAGAGTAGAAGGGAGTTAGCCCTCTAAAAATGTCAACCAAGTGTCACACAACCACAATGCAGTTTAACATATTTGTATCCTACATTAGAAACAGGTTTGCTAATTACTGTAGCTAAATGTTAGCCAAAAATGGTATAATAGTTTAATACTAACGCCCAGACAACTCTAAGCCTGTGAAACTAACTGCATTTGACTCTCAGGTATCGGAACGGTGCCCGTCGGCCGTGTTGAGACTGGCATCCTGAAGTCCGGTATGATCGTCACCTTCGCTCCCGCCAACCTGACCACTGAGGTCAAGTCCGTGGAGATGCACCATGAGACCCTGACCGAGGCGCTGCCCGGTGACAACGTCGGCTTCAACGTCAAGAACGTGTCCGTCAAGGACATTAGGCGAGGGAATGTGGCTGGAGACAGCAAGAACGACCCACCAAAAGAAGCGGAGGACTTCACCTCTCAGGTTGGTTTGGGGGAGGGGTCACTGAGACAATGTTTACACTGTGATGATCTTCTTGGTTTAATTCACTCACTTCATATGAAACCTGGGCCTATTTAGTTGAACACCTCAATGACATGCTCACAGGAATTGAAAAAAGTAAATTTTTGATTTAGGATCCACAACAGCCACATTAGCTCTGGTCTCTGTACCAGGACTGTTGTAGCTAACCTTAGCTCTGGTGTCTGTACCAGGACTGTTGTAGCTAAAGTTAGTTCTGGTGTCTGTACCAAGACTGTTGTAGCTAACGTTAGCTCTGGTGTCTGTAACAGGACTGTTGTAGCTACCCTTAGCTCTGGTGTCTGTCCCAGGACTGTTGTAGCTAATGTTAGCTCTGGTCTCTGTCCCAGGACTGTTGTTGCTAACGTTAGCTCTGGTGTCTGTACCAGGACTGTTGTAGCTAATGTTAGCTCTGGTCTCTGTCCCAGGACTGTTGTTGCTAACGTTAGCTCTGGTGTCTGTAACAGGACTGTTGTAGCTAACCTTAGCTCTGGTGTCTGTACCAGGACTGTTGCAGCTAATATTAGCGCAATGCTACAAAGTACATGCTCACAGCAACATGTCATTTTCTACAAAAAAAGTCTTTCTTTTAAAACAAACTTCTACTTACGGAGATTCATGTGATGTCCTTTCCAGGTCATCATCCTGAACCACCCCGGTGAGATCCACGCTGGTTACTCACCCGTGATTGACTGCCACACTGCTCACATTGCCTGCAAGTTCCAAGAGTTAAAGGAGAAGATTGACCGCCGTAGTGGCAAGAAGCTTGAAGACAACCCCAAAAAACTCAAATCGGGAGAAGCTGGCATAGTGGTGCTTGTCCCTTCGAAGCCCCTAGTTGTGGAGTCGTTCTCTGAATACGCTTCTCTTGGTAAGTCAAGTGGTATGTTGGTACATGGGTTTCCTAACTGTTCTTCTCTACCAATAACCACATACCTACCAAAATAATATTTATTTTATTACTGTGTGACACATGGACAGTCAGAATTGTGTTATTTTGCCATTTTAGCTAACAGCGTATTTTGTACATTTTTGTACACTCCTCTATGGCGTGTAAATTCCCCGCCTCAGGACGAATAAAGTTTGTGTTCTTATCTGAAGAATCTCACTGATTCCTCTCTTCAACTGTTTCCCCTCAGGTCGCTTTGCCGTGCGTGATATGAAGCAAACCGTGGCTGTGGGTGTCATCAAGTCTGTAACCAAGGTTACTAATTCGAGCGGAAAGGTCACCAAGTCTGCACAGAAGGCCGGTAAAAAAAAATGAATTTGGGACGGCTCCTGTGGCCCATCACGTTCCTCATTCTCCTGGCTCATCTTCGTCACCATCCGCTGTCGTCTTCTGTGAGACACAGCTCTTCACTCAAGGAAAGGCTAATGTGGAGAATGTGATCGTGATTTTCTAAAAAACAACAATAAAGAATTAAAATGTTGCAGACGTCAGATGTTTCTAGTGTGTTCCATCATGTTGGCTTTTGAAAAATGTGAGAAGAAATCTTCATCTTTAGGGTTTCAGTAGCAAATTATTGTTTGCTTGTTGTTTTAAAATAAAACATTGGTACCAAAAACAACAAATTTCACAATTGTTTTTCCTGAAAATCACCAAAATGATCCCTGTAAATAATATTACATAAAAATATATATTGCAATACTTATTTTTGTTGTTGTATGTGTTGTAAGGACTCTTATCTATATCAATTGTCTTTTAGAAAGTAATTCCTTAATAATAAAAACAAACATGTAATTAACTGGTAAAAGGGACGAACTAAAAAATGAATAAATCATAAAATAAATCATTAAATCATAAATACGGAATCATAGTAAAAAAAAAGTCACAATTTATTTAGCAAAATGCATTACCTAAATTTGACCACATGGGGACAGCAGATATCGTGCCTTTGGATAGATCGCTTCTCTAAATGACAGCGAATGCTGATTACAGAACGTCAGAAGTAAACGTGTCAGAGTCAAGGTCAAAACCTAAAATGATGATAAAACAAATCCGTTTAGTTAACGGTTTCTTCTGACGTCATGGCCGACAGAATCGGTTATAAACAGAAGTGCAAAAGAGAAAAAAATACAACACACAAAGGTCATGATCAAATTGGAAAATAAATTTTAATAACAAGTCTAAGGTTTCCAGTGTGAGTCGACGGCACTGAGTAGAAATAACAGAACACTGTCATAAATTATTATTTCATTGCGACATCGGAATCGAATTGTTTAAAAACTACAGAATTTAGAAATATGATTACAAAGATAAAACAAATTAAATGTATTTGTTTTTTTTTAATTTGTTTCTTTTATGAATTCTTATGATTTTGTCTTCTTGTCAGCCTTTTGTGCAGCTTTGGTGACTTTTCCAGCAGATGCTTTCTTCTCCACGGACTTGATGACCCCGACGGCCACCGTCTGCCTCATGTCCCGCACAGCGAATCGACCTACAGGGTTTAGAGGATGAAAAAACAGAAGAACATCAAGGAGACGGTGAGTGAGAAGCTAGCTTTGTTAACCACAACTGGCCTCGTTTTAATTAGGCTGTAATAATTACGAAATGAGTCTTTTTGCCCAAACTCAGTTTTGCAGAATGTTGCAAAAGTATGAAGATGAACATCAACAAATGGCAGTGTCATCTGCGTAAAGATGTGTCAGCGATGACAAAACCAGATGGTTTGTGTATTTTGCCCTGTCCGAGAAACCGCTACTTCAAGGGCACTTAGTAATGCGATGAGCCACCACCACCACCACCAATGTGGAACTCACCCAGTGGAGGATACTCAGAGAAACTCTCCACACACAGGGGTTTACTGGGCTCCAGGTTGATGATGGCAGCTTCTCCACTCTTCAGACTTTTGGGGTGGTCCTCCAGCTTCTTGCCGGACCGACGGTCGATCTTCTCGATGAACTCTTTAAACTTACAGGCGATGTGTGCCGTGTGACAGTCCAACACCGGACTGTAGCCCTCGGAGATAGTACCAGGGTGGCCCAGGACAATGACCTGGAAAATAATGTTTTGTGTGCAGTGAGAAATGTATATACATATACATATATATGTATATATATAATTAAATATAATTAAAAATAAGTAAAAACCAATTCATTCGTTCTTGAAATAAAATACTATTAATGAATCAAATGGAAATGACCCCCCCCCATCTAAAGATCAAAAACATAGATATAAACAAATGTATCAATCATATAAAATAATAATAATAAAGAAAACCTTTTATATAATTGTTATAAAAATGGGTAAAATAACCCGGAGAGCGAGACAGCGCCACACAGTGTCGAGTGGGGAAATGGAGCTGGGTTGAGCGCTGGTAACTGGATGTTACTCCTTATTTTTGTGACCCACCTGAGCCTTGAAGCTAGCGGCGCTCATGGGTGGGTCGTTCTTGCTGTCTCCAGCCACATTCCCTCGCCTAATGTCCTTGATGGACACGTTCTTGACGTTGAAGCCGACGTTGTCCCCTGGACCGGCTTCGGTCAGGGTCTCGTGGTGCATCTCCACGGACTTGACCTCAGTGGTCAGGTTGGCGGGAGCGAAGGTGACGATCATACCGGGCTTCAGGACACCGGTCTCCACGCGTCCGACAGGAACCGTTCCGATGCCTGACAGCAAACAGGAGTGAGACAAGAGGTCCAGTTCACCGTGGGACACACACCTCCTAATGTGTCCACGGATGTTCATAGAGACGGAGGAGAAGGACACTGCTCACCGCCAATTTTATAGACGTCCTGTAGGGGCAGACGGAGGGGCAGGTCGGTGGGGCGTTTGGGTTGCAGGATGGAGTCCAGAGCTTCCAGCAGTGTTTTTCCAGAAGCATTTCCCTCTTTGCGTTCAACCGCCCAGCCCTTAAACCACTCCATCTAAAGACAGACGAAAAGTAGAAACTCAGTCCGTGGTCACATCACGGTCACAGATTATAACAAAAACAATAAAAGGAGATCAAAAACAAATAAATACTTCACCTCACCTTCTCACTGGCCTCCAGCATGTTGTCTCCATGCCAACCAGAGATGGGCACGAAGGCAACAGAATTCGGGTTGTAGCCGATCTTCTTGATGTAGGCGCCCACTTCCTTTTTGATCTCTTCGAAGCGATTACTGCTGTAGGGAGGTTCAGTGTTGTCCATCTTGTTGACTCCCACAATGAGCTGCTTCACACCCAGGGTGTAGGCCAGCAGGGCGTGCTCACGGGTCTGACCGTTCTTGGAGATACCAGCCTCGAACTCACCAACGCCGGCGGCAACGATCAGCACGGCACAGTCGGCCTGAACAGGAGGAACCGGGTCAAACAAAGACTCTCCTACAGGACGTTGTTGGTGATGTTCTCCACGTGTTCTCACCTGAGAGGTTCCAGTGATCATGTTCTTGATGAAGTCTCTGTGTCCAGGGGCATCAATGATGGTCACGTAGTACTTGGCGGTCTCAAACTTCCACAGAGCGATGTCGATGGTGATACCACGCTCACGCTCGGCCTTCAGTTTGTCCAACACCCAGGCGTACTTGAAGGAACCCTTGCCCATCTGTGGCCATCAAGAAAATTGTACTTGTTTAATGTATTTTTTTAGGGATGCCGGATATGAACTTTTAGACGATATCTGATATGTTGATATAGACCAAACACTTAGATTACGATGCCTGGATCAACCGATAACCGACATATGCAGCCGTTTTTAAGGAGTCTTAATTGATTGGTTGTGTCAGAGGTAAATACAAACTGTGGATTTAAAGTTGTGACGTCACACAGAAAGCCTGGGGTGAAGTGGTTGGAGGTCGTTTTTTGTTCGTAGTGTTAGCGGTTTCGACTCCCATGACCTTAAGGTTGGTGGTGTTAATCAATTGATTGTCACTAAAAAATACGTTTTGTACGTGGGGAAATGTAGTATATTTTTTAAACGGAGTTATAAAACCATAAATATAACTGTTATTGGACCACTGCTTTAAGTGATTTGTAAAGACATGGGGAAAAAAAGAAGTTGGAATAATGCCGGATAATTTAACTTCATGTACATTTAATCCAAAAGCTACTTTGTGTTTTTTTTAAACAACATAAATGTATCTTGAACCGACCTCAGCGGCTTCCTTCTCGAACTTCTCGATGGTTCTCTTGTCGATTCCTCCGCACTTGTAGATCAGGTGACCGGTGGAGGTGGACTTGCCGGAGTCGACATGGCCAATGCCCACGCTGTTGATGTGGATCTTTTCCTTTCCCATTTTGGTTTACTGAATGAAAAACAAAAATCAAACAACCAATGTCTCACGGCCATCTTAGCCAAACTATACACAGACCACAGACCAGTCCACTTTCTCAGTTGTAGTTGTAGTATTTAGCCGATGTATACAGATGTGGGCCACTTAGCTTACATGGCTAATGACCACAATGTTGTTGTGGGTCTTTTCCTTTGGCATTTTTAAGTCAACTAAAAGTACAAAAATAAAATAATATAACCAGAATCAAAGCGGTTCTAATATCCCCTACACATTAAACTATCGTGTAAAAAAGTTGGCTAAGATTCACATTGTCGTCAAGCTAGTGAATGAAAACAAAGTGTTTCCAACAAAATGGCGGTCATGTTAAACAAGTTATATAAAAACGTTTATTTTAGTTTATTATAAGTATTGAAAGTCATAGGACACCCTGTATATACGAACTAACTATTAGTCCGGTATCTACAGACTCCTACTGAATCAACCAGGCATTCCATCTTTCTGCCACTAGATGGCGCGCTAGCACTAGCAATAACAGCACCACCACAAACACAATTTGAATCAGAGCCCATTAGTCCGACCACTAGATGTCTCGGGAGCACAAGTTTAAAATCCATGCCTTGAGGCAGTTGAAGGTGGACCCTAATCTACTCGGTTCACGTCGAACCTTCTCGAAGTCTCGAAGCTCCTCTTTGAGACTTTGAGAACTCCAGGAGCACTAACCATGACTCTAAAGCAGACAGGTCACCAAAGTTCACACTGCACAACTGATGGGAATGTCGTTCCGGGGCAACCCACCGACCCCCGCCAGATAACTGACCCCTTGTCACCAGACGAGCCTGGTTTTAAAAAAAACAACAACATACGTATTATGTTAACTCTGGGTGCGAATAGGAAAATGTTACGGATAAACTGTGGGATGCAATACAGCAAACGACCACGTGGTGAAGACAGTTAGACTGACAGACCCCTGTCAACGACCCAAGATACTGAACCAAACACTGACCCACGAACCATGACACTGAAATCAAAATATTATTCAGGATTTCAATGTATTTCCTCCTCAAAGAAATTCAAATAATTAAAAAAAGATTTTTAACACGAAAAGATTTAAACTAGAGACTTTACCCTCACACTCTTCGAGTCCGAAATCTGACATCTTTAAAAAATATTTTTTCCTTAAAATCCTGAAAAGTTATTGCAAAATATTTTTTTTATTTTGAAATAAATTGGTAAAAAGTTAAAGATTGGATTAAAGGTAAAGATTGTTGGGAAAATTCTGAAAAGACTACAGAAATCTTTAAACAGACAAAAAAGAAATTCTATGAGTTAAATCAGTTAAAATAATTCCACGTGGCTTTAATCCCCGTGGCTACGTTATACACGTCATCACACAAGCGAGAGAAAAAAAAGGCGGTGTGTACGAACTGTGGGAGGAGTTTGTGTGTCCACTGAAGAGAAAGTCCTGAGTGAGGTCGAAATCAGGCCAAGAGGTTAATAGTTGAAGGCTAGTGGCAAATCTTTTTTAGAAAAGTCTAATTTTAATAAATTAACCTAAAAATAAACTTAAGGTTTGACTTTGTCGAAAAAATAAGGAGTTAAAAAAAGAAACCGATTTTGCTTTAATTGGTTTGGTTCCCGCAGATGTTCCTATCCCGTATACAGTATGAAAAAATGCTAAAAAAGTAATTAACGATTCAGATATGAATGTCCGTAACTGCCAACTGAGAACATCCTCCAACTGTAGGTGTTTTTTTTTTTTCTCAGAGAGGGACGACCATGTGCTGAAATAAAGACGGAAATGGATGAAGGCCGCCTCTCACTGCGGACGCCATTTTTGTCCACGAGGGAATTAGTCACAGTTGACGTATAACTTCACATATTTTATAAAACATCAGGTAAATTCTTTCAATGCATTTGTCAAGACGATAAAATGAATTTTAACGAAGAACTGGACTTAAATTGGACAGTTTTTAAAGTTAGACAGTGATTTTGTATGATAGAAAAGTAGATCATCGACAAAAGTCTTCACCGCAGCCAGTGTGGTTTTACTGACGGCCTGATTTCAATCCACGAGAGTGAGAGTTAAATGAAATAATATCTCTGATTTGTGTTCAAATCTGAATCGATGACTCACCTGCTGAGTGGAGACACTGAACGCCGGTCCTCTTCTGTTCACGCGCTCCTCACTGTCATCAGCTTTTATCTGTCGTGTCAGGACAACGCCTTCTCCTCACCTCCTCCTTCTCTCAAGTCTCCTCCTACTTACTGTTTTTTAAATTTTTTTATTTCATTTCTATGCCAGTTTGCAAAGGGCCGGCCGTTTATTGCCAGTCATCTCACTTCGGTGACAGATGAAACCAAGTGGACGGACATTTGGAACGCCCTGAGAACTCCAGACGTTTCCAAGCTCAAACATTCCTTTTTTTTTGGGGGGGGGTGCTTTTTTAAGGGTGCCATTGGCAGAAGGAAGAGGAATGCTGGACAGGATTGGTGCAACAGGTACAAGTCTTGGCAGGACCAGTGCACCTGATAAACAAGACCAGCTTTTACACCAAACCAGAGCTGCTTGGCAAAGTGTTCAACGTTCCAGAAGGACACACCTCAGAGATGGGATCGAATTAAAGGAGAATAAAAAAAAACAAAAACCTGAGAACTCACTGGCTTTACCTGCTGTACCTGTGTGTTCTTCTGTAATACAACATGTTCATTCAAAGGATTTGCAGAAATTAAAATAAACCAAATGGTTTCATTCAGAATTCAGAAAACACTTTAAATCACGTCAGAAAGGCTTTTCTCGGCCAAACCTCTGCAAAATCTGCTGTTGCCTTCTTTACTGAGTATTAAAATGATATTTTATCCTCAATGGATTTTATTTAAATCCCTCTAGTGTTAGTTGAGATGAGCCCTGAACACAAGGCAGCACTAAACCAGGTGTTTCCCTCTCTTTTGTGGCAAGCTAAAAATGCTAATATGTTCGAGGGAGTTTAGCAGCAGGAAAGTGAACAGGACACAATCCTCCGTTTCCTGTTGAAGAATTTTTTGTTAGTATCAGCTTTTTGTTCAATAAATAACTTTTGATTTGATTTTTGCCGTTAGCATCTGTGAGAGCTAGCGACCAGGACCCTGCTGCGATGATATGAAGGAATACTGAGAATTATTCAAAGCCATATTTCACGCTAATGTTGAGGTAACATGTCCGCTAACGCCTTCACAC